AGATAAAAAGAAAGAGAACCCATGTGCTCTTTTATTTGGCAAGAGATTACTGTTGAGGGAGAAAACCAGATAAAAAGCAAAAGGAATCCAACTAAAAAAAGTAGTTTCATACACCAAGATGAGAGCATTGAAAAACAAACAAAATGGAGAAGCTTATGTAGTAACCAACAGGAGCAGGAGGATCAAGCAAAAACTTCCTGAAACATGTAAAAGAAAAAAGGTAAAAAAGAATGGGATAATGGAAGGGGGTGAAGTGAAAAGTTAGAAGTCTCAGCAGTACAAAAGGATATTACAAAGAAAGCAAAAAATTTCACAGAGTTAGTTTTTAATAGTTAGAGATCAGGAAGTATATACCCAAGGGATTCTTAAAATACTTTCTCGGGCAAAAAAGGAAATGGAAGAAAAAAAAATCTCAACAAATTATGGCATAAAGACAAATATAATAAAGGTAAAATAATTCCCTTGCAGTGTTTAGAAGAAGGTAAAGTTATGTATACATATATAATTAAAATTTACAGACATATATTTCTTATAGTTCTTAGTAATTATGTTCTATCAAAGAATATCTTAAACTTTCACACTGAAGCAATGGAATTATTCCAAGACCATAACTCTTGTTCAATAATGGTATACATACGTATGTGTGTATATTATACATATAAATACATATATATGTATATATGTGTGTATACATATGTATATGTGTGTATAATACACATACACACATCTATATCATCACAAAATAGCATGTGAGTACCTTTAGAATATAATTCTTTAAACTTTACTTATAGGATCAACATGATGGTCAACTCAGTATTAAGACCAGGTTAAGACATCATTGAGATTATAAAAGACAAGTATGAATTTTATTAATAAGCCTCAGGAAAAAAAGCCTTTAGAGCTATATGGAAATATGAAAGTGCTTTGAACTCTCTCAAAGAAAGAAGTTCTGTGACGTCAAATGTCACAATATAAATTAATGAAGTATTTAAGGGTTGCACAAACACCTTCAAAGTAAATTGCCAGCCTTCTATTCCTAGAGGTAGATTAAAAGAACCCAAATCATGGGTTCTGGATTCTGGTTTCTAAGATGTGATATTAAACCCATTACGCAAATTACATAAAGAACAAGCTTCTACTGTCACAACCACCTATTCAATATCACTTTGTCTATAAATCAAGAGAAAGGAAAAGCATGTGGTTGAAAGAGTAGGGTAACAGAGGGCAACTCTCAAGTACAGCAACCCTATAACAGATCTGCAGAGAATGACAAGGAAAGAGGAAAAGCCTAGAAATAGGAAGGTGGTTCTGTCCTGCCTCTTACCAGAAAATGATAGCACTGAAACAGCTCCTAAGGAAATTCAGTTTGATATCACCACAGCTGTATACCAAGAGGAGTTTGGATACAGGCATGGCAAACTTAAAAGTAAACATTCAAACCACAGCTTTTCCATGCAGCACAAGATTATTGCTAACTAAAAAATCCTATTAGATTGGCATTTCTCTTAACTCAGAACAAAAGTAGTTTATGACCTACATACTAGATATAAAATTGGATGTCAAAGGATATCTGATCTAATTCACAGTGATCCAGAAGGATATGACTCTGTAGAATAATGTTTCTCGAACTTGGCTTGCAGATCCCTGGGGGATATATTCTTACAAGTCTATGAGTGCTCTGGGAGAATTTTTAATTTTAGTGTTTCTATTTCAATAATTTTAAAAAATTGACTTAAAAAATATAAAATTAGAATAATCCATTTATAATCCCAGTATTACCATGAAACTCCAAGAGTTGCAATGGCTGTGACTATAATCAAACTAGTACCTTTTAAGATCTCTATATCTAGGACTTCATACATAAATGATGTGCTTGATGAGTGAAGGCCAAAGGAGTATCACATCTCATTCTAAAAGCAAATTTTTCATTGTAGTTCAAACAGAGAAAGGTAGCAAGAGAACACTTATCAGACACCTCAGAATAGAGGCTACTGCCAAACTGAAAGCCTATATCAAGGCAGCCAGCAGTAATAACCACCATTTTACCAAGACTTAACTATGTGCCAAGAACTGCCTCAAGCACTCTATATGAATCATATTAATCTTTTCAATAACTATATAAGGTAGGTACTATTATCTCTAATTTACAGAAAAGGTATTAAGTAATTTCCTCAAGGACACAGAGTGAATAAATACCGAGATAGGATTTGAACCCAGCCACTCTTAGATTACACTGCTTCCTTATCATATTTAGGTTGTGGGCTGAGATTCCTGATCATCAGAATATAATCATCCTCCATACTAAATATAACTTGATTTTTAAATTTGTAGTATCATTTATAATTAATTTATAAATTTGTTATGGTTTTAGAGTTCTTGTAAAAGCTAAGCACCAGGAGTTCAGAACTAGTTTAATGTTTGTACGTATTTAAATAAGACAATCATAATTAATCTAAGTGAACACGGCTTCCTAACAAATATTTTTACCTTAAAAGAGGTCCATATCACTCCTATTTCAGAAACGCTGCTCACCTAGGGTATGTGGTATGTCAGGGTTTACAGGCAAAGTCTCGGGATAAACAAAGTTCATTTTCTGAAGCACCCACTTTCCTCAATGGTAAATCATTTAAATCTCTTTTACATTGCAATAAATATTTATGTCCCAAATTTTGCGCTTGCCGAGGGAAAGTTAATAACCTCGAGAAATAGGTTTTTTTCTCCTGCTCTTAGGGGTGGTCTGGAAGAAGAGTTTGAAAAGCTTTGCATAGGTGAGAGATTGAGTTTAAACAGGGAAGGAAAAAGGAAATATTTATTCAAACTTTCCTGAAGTCTAGTATTTTCTTTCTTAAAAAACCGTCATCCTTTGACTCCAGCTACTACTCTACTTTTTTTTTACTCCTTCCTCTTCAATGTGGAACTTCTTGAAAGCATTGCCTAGGGTTGTTCTTCCCTATTCCTCAACTCCAAATTTCTCTTAAGCATATCTTACTCCAGACTGGCATTATCAAGGTTACCAACAACCTTCACAGAATCAAATTCATTGCTCGCTTCTATGGTTTTATCCTATTTCTCAGGAGCATTCAACAGAGTCTCTCTTCACTTTTTAATTTTGGTTTCCACAACTCTCTCCTAGTTTTCCTCCTACCTCACCTGCCACTCCTTCTTAATGTCCTTTGTTGATTTCTCTCCTTTCCTCATCTCATATCCAATCCATTAGCAATTTTGTCCCTTTTACCCCCAAGAGGTATTCCAAGTCCATTTCCATCTTCCATCTATATGACTACCCTCCTAGTCAAACCCATCATTTTCTCTCCCTTAATCTACTAAAACAGTCTTCTGACTAGTCTCCCTCTTTCATTTTTGCTCCGTTCCCCACATAGCTGACAGAGTGATTATTCAAAAATATAAATCACATTTTATTCCCCCACCCCCACCCCGCTTACCAGCCTCCAATGGCTTACCCTAACACTTCAGTTCCTGATCCTAATTTACTAAACCCTCCATGATGAGGCACTTGCCCATTTCTCTGATCCTTTCCCAGAACTCTCCCTACTCCCATATTTTAGCCGTATTGGCCTCTTTCTCTCCTTCAAACATGTCAAGCTTGTTCTCACTTAAGGTCTTTTACTAGATGTTTATTTTTCCTGAAATTCTCTCTGTTCTGATCTTATATGGCTGCTTCTTGTCATTTAGATTACACTTCATGCTTCATCAGACAAGACTTTCCTAATTATCCAATCACAAGAAACCATCCTGTCTTTATTAATTACATTCTCTTCTTTTAATTCTCTATATAGTACATATTACTGGCTAATATTTTTTGCTTTATTTGATTACTATCCATCTTGCCCGCTAGGTTATAAATTCCATGAGAACAGGGTCCTTAACTGTCTGGTTCATCACTATATTTCCAGTATCTAAATAAGTGCCTGTAACAGGAGATTCTCAGTAAGTATCTGTTGAATGAGCAAATGAACAGACCTAAATCTGTAGGATGGCTGTAAACTTGATCTAGTCTCTCAGTGATTTGGGGGGAAAAATCACTAAGTCTCTCCCAATCCAAATCCAAGGACCTAGGAAAGCAAAAGATGTTCTAGAAGGGATCTGATTCCTACTGGTGAGAGTATCCTAAAAACAGCATGCACTAACCACACTGCCATTCAAAGACTACTGTACTTTTTTAGTGCCTACTAGATATATTCCAGACACTATTAAAGGTGCTGGTGAATAAAATGACAAGTGCTTATCCACAAGAAGCTTGCAGTTGGTGCCCAGTAAGCAATGAAAGGCTACTCACCCTCCTACAACTGCTACATACACATTGTTAAATTACTCGTTTCGAGGGTGGAAAAGTTGGCCTCAAGTATATTGTAACGGTTAGCAAATAAGAGTATTAAACCTGACTGTATTATACGTAGCTGCTTACCCATTACTATATTAAAATTTCATGTGCTTAATTCAAGTTTTATAAAACTACGCTATTATTTTAACAAGACATTAAGTATCTAGTTTTTAGAGACTTAGGTACATGAAAAGATGTACACGTGGATGTACATCAAAAATCTGAAATAAAATTAAATACATTAAAGGGGGAAAAAATAAAAAATAGAATCAATGGTCCTGGGGTTCTCTTCTGGTAGTTCTCAGGCACTGATCTCCCAACAGTAATACATTCTTAGAGTCCAGTATCAGGGAATCCAGTATTCTCAACACTAGAGAATTAGGAGGCAAACTCATGGAAAATGAGAGTTAACAATCCATGTCATATTTGCATTTTTCTTTAGAAAAGTATAATCCATCTCTTTGCTTTGGCTTTGGTATAAGAGTGGAATGTTAACCTGTAAATACTGCCTGCTATGTAACTGCTCTTTTGCAATGTGTTTTTATTTCAAAAATAAGCTCTGCAAAAACTTTGGCGTTTCAAAACAAACAACTGTTTCTTTTGTATTAGAACAAATGATACATAAAAATGAAATCATAAAATACAACAGGAAACATACCATTCCATATGCCTGCTGTTGGACCCAGTTGATATAATCATTCCTTATGTCTATCAATTCTTGTACTTCATGTATATAAAATTTATCATACTGTATAATCTGTCCCGATTTCTCATTTACCTACAAAAAATAAATGCGCAATTAACATTAAATTTTAACAGTACCTGTCAGAGACTGAAAAATGTTTAAATAGAAAAAGGATTGAGATTTCTCAGCTAATTTTCTCTTCCTGTAAAAAGTAATTCACTGAGTGCATACTATATGCAAAATGCTAGATAAGTGATATAAGAAACACAAAGGCTTGTAAGATGTGATATCTGCATTAAGTACCTCAAAATCCAGTAAAAAAGAAAAATATTTATGTAACCACCACACAGTATGAGGTATATACCATTGAAGGATATACAGTACATATAAGCTAAAAACTGTAAGGACTTCTGGTTGAAGAATGGGACTTCAATAACAATAAGAATAGCTAATGTTCATTAAGTGTCATCTTGTATGGGCATCTGATTAGAATAAACAAAGAGGTGACAGATGAGTGGGATGTGATAATTAAGAGAGAACAAATTACCACCCTAGAAATTACTTACTAACTATAAAGGGAAAAAAAATCCTTACAGTGGAGAGCACTACCTTAACCAAGTGATCAAATTAATCACTACCAGTACTAGGACAATCAAATATTATGTTCCTGATGACATAATACAACAGTAAGTACAAACATTATCTATGAAGCAAAAAAATGTTTAACCTGAATCTAATCAAGTCCTTTGATCTAAATTCCAGTTAACAGAAAATACAAGGGATAGAGGAACAAGTTAAATATCACCATGAGGAAATCATCAGACAAATATCCTGATTGTAGGACTTTTACAAGAAGACAAGAAGAAGGCCAGAACTCTCCAAAAAGTCAAGGTAATAGGAGAAAAATGTGGGCATGGTTGTAAATTAAAAGAGACTAGAGGAGTTCTGGTACTGAATATGGCAGAGTACCTTGTATCAGACTAAAACACCTGACAATAACAATGATAAACTCTGGATAATATACAAAAAAACCAACTATTTAAAAACACTGGGGGGCTGGCCCTGTGGCCGAATGGTTAAGTTCACACAGTCCGCTTCAGCAGCCCAGGGTTTCACCAGTTCGGATCCTGGGTGCTGACATAGCCTCACTCATTAGGCCATGTTGAGGCGGTGTCCCACATGCCACAACTAGAAGAACCCACAAGTGAAATATACAACCATGTACTGGCGGGATTTGGGGAGAAAAAGCAGAAAAAAAAAAACTGGCAACAGTTGTTAGCTCAGATGCCAATCTTTCAAGAAAACAAAAACACTGGAAACCAACCAAAACAGGAATGACACATTCTTTGAAAGAAGGAAAGCACGTGTGAGATCCACATTTTTTCCCACAGGAGTACTTCCAAATACGCATGAGGGGCAAGGGATAGAGCTCAAGCAGAAAGCAGCAGTTTCACCAAACAGAGGAGTAACAGGTCAGAGATTGAGGCTGCCAACATGGCAGACAGTGAGAATAAAAATCCCAGAAAGGAATCCAGAGGGTGAAGCCCCAAAATCCACACGCAAATTCCCCCATATCATTGGCTAACTCTTAAACCACGAGCGCACAGGTGAGACTTGGGGGGAACAAAACCCCAGCAGAAAGCAACAACTGAGAAGTTACTCTTAAAAAGTAGACTTTAAGACAAGCATTGCTATAGGAAAATAGGCACATTTCATAATGATAAAAGGATTAATTTATCAAGAATTCATAACAACCCCAAATAACAGCACTTCAAAATACATGAAGGAAAAATTGACAGAAGCACCATCATAGTTGGAAATTTTGACACCCATGTCCTGCTGACTAATAGAAAAAAATAGACAAAATTAGTAAGTATAAAAGATTTGAACAACAATTTCAGTCAACTTGAACTCACCGTCACAGAACATTTCACCCAGTAATTGTACATGGAATGTTCACTAAAATAGACCATATCCTGCACCACAAAACAAGTCGTAATAAATACACTTAAAAGAAACCAAAGTATACTAAGCATATTCTCTGACCACAATGGAATTAAAAAATCAGTAACAAAAAGATATTTGGAAAATCCTAGAACATTGGCAATTAAACAAGACACTTCTAAATTACCCAAAACTTTTCTTGAATCTATCAGAGAGCTAAAGTCACAAGATAACCAAGCAGCCAGAATTCCAAGGATGGACAGATACTTCCAAAGAGAAATAGGATGCCAGAAATGGGTCACTTGTGGCAGGGCAGGAGGAAGATACCACTGTTATACAAGCAGGGAAGAAGAAATCACCTAAAATTTTAAGAAATTGCTTCAGGCTGTGTATGGGATAACTTGACAGTATAAAACCCCGAGGAGTCCCAGACAGGTTGCACTCACTCAGACTCTTTTCCAGAGACCTCCACTGGGTGCCCATGAGGATGACTGGAAACAGGGCGGAAGATCAAGAGCCTCTCTCAGTGCTATAAGGAATTGGCTGCCACTGTGAGAAAGAAATAAGGCCAGTCACCCTGCCCAGATCCTTCTCTCAAATAGAGAGAGGAAAGGCCTTATGCCGCTGAAGAAAGAGAAGCAAATTCTATGCCTTGTTGCTGGAGGAGGGAAAACCCTCAATCCCTGAGAGGAAGAGGGACAAGAACAGTTCTGAGCCCAGAATCTTATATCAGTAGGACCAGAGGCCTCCTACTGCTGGAGGAGGGGGCAGAAACTCTGAGAAAGTCCCAAACCCAAGGTCCAGGCACACTTAATAAGATAAAGCCTACACCACAACAACAAAGAACTTTTTCTATCCTCTCTCCTCTACCAATCTTGAAAGCACTGAGTAACAAGCAATACCAGTTTACCACTGGGGAGGGGCATGAGTGAGAGGAGCAAGCCCTCTAGGGAGTAGGAATGTGGAGTGCAGGACAAACACTGAGAAAAAACTTTTGACATTTCACCTCTGCCCTACACATCAGGCAACATCAGAGGAATTTTGAGGCCTCTTGTGCAATGAAGGCAACTATGGCAAACTAAAAACTCAATCCCAGTTTAACTCCTGACTAGACTGACTTAAATCCCCACAATAACAGCCACACAGAAGAAGTGTACCCATTACAGCTTCAAATCTAATTACTTCAGCCTCTACCATTTTATAAACAACCAAAAATTATGAGACATATCAAAAAGCAAATAAGCAAAATAAAACAAACAAAAACTACCAAAAAAAAGTCTAGAGACAAAACAATCAACAGAGCCAGATGCAGAGATGACTCAGGTGTTGGAGTGAAAAGACAGGGGCTTTAGGAAAATACTTTTAACTTAATGCAAATAAAAACAAACATCAGAATTTGTGGGATGTTGGTAAAGCAGAGTACAGGAGGGAATTTATAGTATTCAATGATCATGTTAGTAAAAGATCTAAAACCAATCATCTAAGCCTCTAATTTAAGAACACATAAAAAGATGATCATGTTAAGGACAAATCAAGTAGAGGGAAGAAAATAAACAGTAGAAATTGATGAAAGAAAAAACAGGAAAACACTAGAGACAAATCAATGAAAGCAAATGTGCCTTATGAAAAGATCAGTAAAACTGATAAGCCTCTAGCCAGACTGGACAAGAAAAAAAAGAGAAAGCACAAATTACCACTATCAGGAATAAAAGAGGGGACATCAATCACACAGATATCTTACCAAAACTGACTCAAGAAGAAACAGAAAACACAAATTACACTCTATTTTTTTAATTTAATATGAAATTTTAAAATTTCCCAAAAGAAATTTCCAGGCCAAGATGATTTCACTAGTGAATTCTATCAAACATTTAAGGAAGAAATAATCTCAAATTCAGAAAACAGAGAAAGGGGAATCATTTCTTAATTCATTTTATGAAGCTAGAATAACCTTGACAACTAAAAGCTGATGACAATATGAGAAACAAAAATTATCAGATCAACATCTCTCAAGAACAAGACATAAAACCATCAACAAAATATTAGCAAATTAAACCCAACAACATATATAAAGTATAACATATAATGCTCAAGTGGAGTTTATCCCAGGAATGCAAGCTTGGGGTAACATTCAAATACCAATGAATTTCACTACATTTCAGAAAAAAATCATTTTTCATCTCAACAGATGCAGAAAAAAGCATCTAAAATAATTCAACTCCCCTCATAATAAACATTCTCTGCAAACCAGGAATAGAAGGGAAGGTCTTCAAAACAATAAAGCCCACCTAAAAAAAAAAAAATTCTGGGGTCCAGCCCAGTGGCCCAGCAGTTAAGTTCGCATGCTCCGCTTCTGTGGTCTGGGGTTTGCTGGTTTGAATCCCAGGCTCGGACCTATGCACCGCTTATCAAGCCATGCTGTGGCAGGCTCACATATAAAATAGAGGAAGATGGGCACAGATGTTAGCTCATGGCCGATCTTCCTCAGCAAAAAGAGGAGGATTGGCAGTGTATGTTAGCTTAGGGGTAATCTTCTGCAAAAAAAAACCTCTACAGCCAACATCATACTTATTGGTAAAATATTGAAAGCTTTCTTTTTAAGATAAGGAAGTAGACAAGGATGTCCCCTGCAACCATTTATATTCAACACTGTACTGGAAGTCTTAATAAAACAAGGTAAGAAAATAACATGCTTGTATACATAAAAAGTCCAAATAAATCTGTAAGAGAATTACTGGAACTGATAAATTAATTTATCCAGGTCACAGAGTATAAGGTCAATACAGAAAACTCAACTGAATTTCTCCATACTAGCAATAAGTAATTGGAAAATAGAAATTTTAAAATTATCATTTACAAAGCATCAAAAACATAAAATATTTAGGAATAAATTTAACAAAAGATATGCAGGATCCCCGAAAACTACAAATAAAGAGAGAAAATAAAGAGACCTAAATAAATGACGAGATACACTACGTTCATAGATCAGAAAAGAGACTAACAAGACTCAACAATCGCAAAAAACAAAATTTGACTGGACTCTAATTTTAAAATAAGCAGTGATATAAAAACATTTTGGGGAGGCTGGCCTGGTGGTGTAGAGATTAAATTCATGTGCCCTGCTTCAGTGGCCCAGGGTTTGCCAGTTC